AAAGCTTTTTCCTTCTTAAAATTGTTTGCTCCCTTTTTTTTTTTTTGCTGAAGGAACATATTGCTTTTGCTATCAACTCTGGTATTATATGTTTGATAATGCTAAGGGTATCTCTACATCTTCAAGTCGGACATGTATCCCCAGAACAGAAAGAATGGGTGGGCACCACAGTAGATAGACTGGTAACTTGATCATAGGCTTGTTTACTCAAAAGTAATTCTCATTGTGTTCAGTACTACTTAACTCCTCAGTAAGCATATAACATTGCAACCAGATTAACCTAGTTTTTATGAAAGCATTTATTGAGACATATTGGGGAACTCAGTGGAGTAAATGTAATCCAGATGGTATAGCAACCTCATCAGCTTTTTTGTGGTTACTTTTTGGAATGGCCACTTGGAGGTGGAAATGGAGAGTGGTTGAAAAGCTCCGACCCTTAGAGCAGTGTTTTTCAACCACTGTTCCGCGGCACACTAGTGTGCCGCGAGATGTTGCCTGGTGTGCCGTGGGAAAAATTGAAAAATTTGAAAGATTTTTTTTTAAAAAAATGTCAAATTTCCGCCCACAGGCGGTCCGCTCTCATCCGATTCCCCATAGAGAGCAGCGGGGCTCTGACATCTCCCTCTCTGCACACAGTGGTGGTGTGCCTCGTGATTTTTTTTCATGAAACAAGTGTGCCTTTGCCCAAAAAAAGGTTGAAAAACACTGCCTTAGAGCCACTACTCATTTTTCCTATGGGATGGTAATGGAAGGATGACCAGTTAGAATTTAGTTTGATCTTTCATTCACCATTTTATGGAGCTCTTTCAGTTGGTCATCCAATAATTGCCACATGGTACCAACAGCCAGTGGTGTTCAACAGTATTTTTACCATACTGGTTTCTGTTAGTCTCTACCTAACAGTTTCTGCCTTGCATCTGAAAACTTGCATCTGTCTCTTTAACAAAGAAGTGCATTCCTTTCCGATGGTTGAAAAATTTAGTTTCCCTTTTGCAGCCAGCACTCCACATAAGGGACGAAGAAATAAAAGCAATATAAAATGAAAATTCTTAACAATCAGAGCTTCCTTATTTGTTAATAATCTTTCCTAGTCACAAACAATTAAAATTTGTTTTTTTGTTTTATTTTCAGTCTGTTAATGCCTCTTCTTACGCCAGCAGTCAGTTTACATTCCAGGTGATAGTTGAACTGGTAGACAGATCACCTCAGTTGTAATTAATCACAAAGATAATTAAAGAAGGGAGATCTAGCTGACCTAATGCCTCGAGGGCTAACCTTCAGGGCTATTCTGTGGTGTCTGGGCACAGTAGTGGTTGGTTTCTCTCTCCCAGTCACTCACTGTATCAGAAACGCCCCCGTCTTCAGCATGAAGAGTAGCTTTCTTCAGAGCATTAGAGGTTGATCCCTTGGATCCCCCTATATTCAAAGAGAGGATGTGACAACCAAGATTTATGTCTTGGCTGTCATTAATCACTGCATAATTATCTCTGTTGACGGAATACCAACAGTAAACAACTACAGATAGGTAGCCGTGTTGGTCTGCCATAGTCAAAACAAAAAAAATTCCTTCCAGTAGCACCTTAAAGACCAACTAAGTTAGTTCTTGTATGAGCTTTCGTGTGCATGCACACTTCTTCAGATACACTGAATAATACACTTCAGAGTGTATCTGAAGAAGTGTGCATGCACACGAAAGCTCATACCAAGAACTAACTTAGTTGGTCTTTAAGGTGCTACTGGAAGTAAACAACTAGTCAGCCATCTTTTTATCCCAGAAGTCTGTATTTAGGCATTATCACATGAATGTTTGTTTTATGGTGGTCACAGACGAATAAATAAATTGTTTATTGGTTTTAATTCTGTATATTCTTTGCCATGTAAGAGGTCTTGTGAGGGTTTTGTCTTAAAAGATAGCCTAATCGAGTTGACATAAGCAAAACTGCCAGAGTAGAACCTGAGACCAAACTACAAACTGGTTCAATTGCTGATTCTTTTGTGAACTCACAAAGTGGTCTAAGGCAAGCCCCATCCACCCCTCTGCAATATGGGGTAACAATTCTGGTTTTTTAATATATTATTAGAATCGTGATTAAAATTGTCAGGGTGGCTTTCAATAAAATAATTCCTGCATTTCAGGGGGTTGGACTAGATGACCCTTGGGGTAGATTGCTGTTTTTGAGCTATTTGTATGGAAAACTGGCAAAAAGGGCACTGCTGCCATGGGCAGCCATACGTCTGCATTTTCCCGGACAGTTTCCCGATTTCTGCCTGGACACTGCTGCCGACTGCAGTACCTTGGTTCTCAAACGCCGAAAACCTGGAAGTGTCCCGGTTTTCAAACACTTTTTGGTCAGCCAAACGTCCAATGCAGTTGTTGGCTATTGATTCCGGGGCACCTGCACCAATCAGAAGCTGCACCTTGGTTTTCTGATATTTTGAAAGTCAAACAGACATCTGGAATGGATTAAGATTGGCGCTTTTTTTTTTGCTATTTATTTTGCGTTTTTGTGGCTTTTTTGGTTAATTTGTTTTTGTGACTGTGTGGAACCCAGTTCAGCTACTGATTGATGGTTTGTGTGACTGCGGAAATGGATAAAAGCCCCCATCCAAACTGACTATCATCAGTGCAGGTAAGAATTTGTTTTTGTTTTTATTATCTACAATACAGTGGTACCTCGGATTACATACGCTTCAGGTTACATATGCTTCAGGTTACAGACTCCACCAACCCAGAAATAGTACCTTGGGTTAAGAACTTTGCTTCAGGGTGAGAACAGAAATTGTACTCCGGCGGCACGGCAGCAGCAGGAGGCTCCATTTGCTAAAGTGGTGCTTCAGGTTAAGAACGGACCTCCGGAACGAATTAAGTAATTAACCTGAGGTACCACTGTACTGTTTTATTTATTTTATAGTACAGTACATTGATATTGCTTTCATTTTATGGATCAATGGTCTCGTTAGATAGTAAAATTCATGTTAAATTTTTAGGGGTTGTTTTTAAAAGACTGGAATGGATTAATCTGTTTTGCATTATTTTCTATGGGAAAGCACGCCTTGGTTTTGGAACGGACTTCACGAACGGATTAAGTTTGAGAACCAAGGTACCAGTGTATTCTGACTGTGTATGGGAAAATCCGGACATATGTCAACCCTACCTTGGGGTCCCTTCCAAATCTACACTTGGTAATCTTTACAATAAGGAACGCTTTTCCCATGTAATGACGTTATCTGATAGGAAAGGTCAGTTAGGGCCCACAGGCAGAAGTGGGGGAGTTCGCAGCATTGCATAGCTCTTTCTCCGAGACACCTCAACTCTTAGAATCACAGCACTGTAGAGTTGGAAGAGACCCAACCCCATGCAATGCAGGAATCCTCTGTCCCTTTCTTACTTAAAAAGTATGGAAAAGGTAACATCCCCAACATTTTTCTATTATTTTATTTTTTTAACAATTATAACTGGTACTGGATTTTTATCACACTATATGCATTAATTAGCTCTCACCAATATGTACCTGAAACTCAGGATTACATTTTATATATCTGAAAGCTTATGCCATTATAAATGTATTTACCATTAAGATGCCACAAGACTTGCTGCTGTATTTACCACATACTTATTTTTTGTAGGTAATAATTCACTTTTGTTGAACACAGGTTATTAATACTGGCAGTTGTTTCTGCTTCTGCTCTCCTTCTGTCTGCAGTCTGTAAAGTGAAGAAGCGCAGGGGGGGGGGGCAAGGAAGAAAAGGAAGCAGCCCCTCTGACCGTGGGGAGGTGCTGCGTTGCTGTCTGCAATCTGCGGTGGGCTTCCTGATATGTGGTACCAGTTGGATTGCTATAGCATGTTATATGTGGGGCTGCCTCTAAAGACGGTTCAGAAACTTTAGCAGGTGCAGAATTTGGCAGCTATGTTGCTCACCAGGGCAAGACGGTTTGAACAAATCCTGGCCCAACTGCACTGGCTACCAATAAGTTTCCGGGTCCAATTCAAAGTGCTGGTTTTGACCTACCAAGCCTTTAATGGCTCAGGAACGCAATACCTCAAGGACTGCCTCTCTCCATGTGAAGCAACCCAGACCCTGAGATCATTTTCGGAAGCCCTTCTTTGGGTGCCTCCTCCATGAGAGGTCTGGAGAGTGGCAACACGAAAACGGGCCTTCTCTGCAGTGGCTCCCCATCAGTGGAATGCTCTCCCCAGGGCAGTTCGCCTGGCGCCTTCATTATACATCTTAAGGTGCCAGGCAAAAGCTTTCCACTTTAACCAGGCCTTTGGCTAATTAACATCTTGTGACCTTTTACATGTCTTTGGGTGGGGTGGGGGTTATGGGATTGTTCTTGTTTGTGTTATGTATTTTGTGTTTTTATTTTGGATTTTTATGCTGTGAACTGCCCAGAGATCTTTGAATGAAGGGGTTATACAAATTTAATAAGTAATAACAATACCAGCATCCATGGCGCATGTTCTGAACTCAGCTGTTCCTTGTTAGTGTCTTCTTCCTTTGCAACTTCCTGGCCACTGCTAGGACTGTCCTTCCTGATTCCAGTTTCATTTTGCCCTGCCTTTACTGAATGGCTACACCTCGTAAGATTGGTCTTGCTGTATGTAATTGTTTTTCCAAGTTCCCTTTTTATGTTCTTATTTTTTGACTCAAACCAAAAAAGCTATGCTGAAGAGTTATCTTACATGGCAGAAGTATTGCAAACAACCCTGATCCCCGCGCTCCCCCAGTGCAAGGTTATGGAGTGTTCAGAATAATTACTACTCTGACAAAAACAATGGCTTCTGTTGCAATTTAATTGAAGTAAATGATATTTGAATTAAGTGGTTTTAACAATACTGCAAAGTTGTGTTTAGCTGATTTACAGTGTAAAGGGTTTGGTGATTGATCATTAACTTCTCTGAACAGTGAAATTCTTCGGTTCTTTAGCAAACAGAGCGCAGGGAGGAATATCTGATAGGGCTGCATGAATTGCTGTGGCCTTTCCTTGTCCTCTTGTTGAGCGTGCCGTCTGTATGCTCCACTTTGCTTCTGCAATTGTTCGGCCTTTGCTCTCCAACTAGTTAAGGTGTGGCTGGCTGATTCAGGTTGTTCTCTCTTTCCCCTCTTACCTGAAGATTTGCATGTTTGACCTGGTGGAGTAATTGGGCCCACAGCAACCTGGGCGTGCCTCTCTGAGAAACATTTAGTTTCATGTATGACTCATAAGCTGAAGCACACACACCACTTCCCCAATCTACAGAAGCCATTTTAACTGCACAAAACTGCTGGATTACTTTTTACTGTCTAGCTTTTGGGACTCTGCAAACATCTTAGATCAAGGTAATTTTGACTGACTTAACTTGGTGAAGTGTCTGTAACTTGAATTTAATATTTCTGGTAGAGGATTAGGTGTACCTGCTGAGTTTTTAAAAACAAACATGGCTGTGTGCTTTTGGCTATGTTAATAATTGAAAGTCACACGCTTAATTTAATTAAAAATAGGGAACAGATAGTGTAATACTGACTGTTTTGTATTTAAATGTTTTGTTTGCCACAATATTAAAAAAATGGGTTTGCAAGATTAAGGCTGGGAAAATGATCTGTTGTAGCACAATAACTTTGATTGCAGGAAAAATGAAAATCACTTTAAGGGGCCTGTCAGCTTTACTGGTTTACCTATACTGTATATAAAGTGTTAATGGATTTTTGAATTAATGCTTTTGAAAAAGGAAACTAATATAATATAAACTGTTGAAATCCAGCACTGTGTGCCACAGAAAAAATACATTTCAGATGTAGCCTTTACCTTTAAGGTGGATTCTTATTTGTAAAATAGTTACGTGTGTCTAAGCATGGTATAGGCAAGCCTGTGGCAATCCTCCAGACGACACATTAGTAAACTGAGCTGGGTTAAAGAGTTGAATTCTGATTGTTCATATCCAAGAGACTGAACTGAGGAAGACTGAGCCAGTCTTCTGTTGTCTGTGATTTTAGCACTCATCTTTCTGTTATGCTACCCCAAAAATGAAAAATAAGAGTTTGTAGTTGTCATAATCCTAAAGACTGTTGCTGGGAATTTCTGCTGTTCTATACTGCAAAACGTATATATTACATTTTATAGCAGAAGGAGTTTGTGTTGTAACATAAAGGTCTCAGGTTAGGACCAAGGAGTGGAAAGGCTGTTTCTATGAGGGGAGAGGAATACGCTTGAGTTGTAAATTATTTGTCTATTGACTTCAGCATGCAAGGTTACTGTTTTCCACAACATGATTTTAGATGGGGGATTCTGCCTGTCTTGTTTAGGCGTTAGTTGTCAGTTTTAGCTGAAGGCTTATCTGAGTAAGCTGTGTTTTATTTCCGCTTTTCAACTGAAAACAAAACTTGATCAACTTTTAAAACCAGGTCCGATTCCTTAAAACAGAAGATGCAATGCCAGAGGAGAAGCTGCCTGTAATGTCTCCCTGTGTCTATGGAATACAATGGGGCTTTTTGCTGCTACCAACATTACCAAGATAGAAAGCTTGCATGTTGGGGGCAGGGGGGCTTGGTCAGATGCTGTTCAATTTCTGGTACTGTTCCTTTGTTTCAGCCTCTCTATTAAGTTCTCCTGAGGCATCCCTGGTGTTTAATGCTTTCAAAGTAGTGGTATTTCCTAGCATATAAGGAGCCTATGTTATCAGATATTTAAAAATAACTTTGAAATCCACATATACTGGTATATCTGTGATCCAAAGAACTTGGTGATTGCTGTCTGTATTCAGTAATGCTTTAGGACAACTTTTTGTGAACCGCAGTCAACCTTTACCGGTGCCACAAAGCAAGCCTCTTTTGAACCTGAGGAGATGTGAAAGGTTGGTGATAGGGGCAGGAGGTGTATGCTGCTCAAAACAAACAACAATAACAACAGCCTTTAAACCATTCTCACGAGTTGGGCAGAAGCCCTTGAACAGGACAACTTTGGGTTGCTAGCCGCAGAAGGCCAAACTAGATATTTATTTATTCATTAAAGTATGTAGTGCTTGATTGTGTGTGTGTGTGTGTGTGTGTGTGGTTTTTTTTAAAAAAAACACACATTCAAAGCAGTTTACAAAAATAATAAAACAATAAGATTCTCAATAAAACCAGTTAAAAACAACTATTTAAAACATTTTTTTAAAAAAATAAAATCAGTGATAAGCAAAAAACCAGATTAAAACACAGGCCAACGTTCTACATATCTAGATAAGGTAAAGGTAAAGGTACCCCTGCCCGTACGGGCCAGTCTTGACAGACTCTAGGGTTGTGCGCCCATCTCACTCAAGAGGCCGGGGGCCAGCACTGTCCGGAGACACTTCCGGGTCACGTGGCCAGCGTGACATCGCTGCTCTGGCGAGCCAGAGCCGCACACAGAAACGCCATTTACCTTCCCGCTAGTAAGCAGTCCCTATTTATCTACTTGCACCCGGGAGTGCTTTCGAACTGCTAGGTTGGCAGGCGCTGGGACCGAACAACGGGAGCGCACCCCGCCGCGGGGATTCGAACCACCGACCTTTCGATCGGCAAGCCCTAGGCGCTGAGGCTTTTACCCACAGCGCCACCCGCGTCCCTACATATCTGGATAGTCACGCCTAAACAAAACATTTTTAGCAGGCACTAGAAAAAGTGCAGTGGATGTGCTGGCCTGATTTCAAAATGACCAAAATGATTCAAAAATGTGTGCTGTCACACTAAAATATGGATTTCTTTCAAATGTGTTCCAAGTATTATGTGCAGTGCTTTTTTCTGGGGGAACACAGGGATATGAATACTCCTAAACATTTTGGGAATCTTTGTACTTTTGTCCATTTACTGTATTATATTTTTCCTGATCTGAACTATAAAATGGTGATTTTCTTGAGTCAAAATGAGAGTACTCCTAAAAAAAAATTAAGAAAAAAAGCACTGATTATGTGGCATCTTTAACAGTGCTAGTTCCGCAGATCAAAGTGCTTCAGTGACCCTATATGGGATAAGGCAATCTCACCGGTATACTGTCACAGTTGTAAAGTTGTCACAGGCTTTCTATACGAACAGGAACAACTTGAACTTGGCCCAGTAGCAAATCAGGAAGCGCTGCAGTTGTCTGAGCAAAGCCATTCTACGCTGACAGGGTCTCATTCCTGTCAGCGATCATGCCACAGCATCCTGCACCATCTGCAGCTTTTGGATCAAGTGCAAGGGAAGCCCTACAAGCATTCCAATAATCCACTCTTGAAGTAACCAATGCATTAACTGCTGTGGTCAAGCTCTCCTGATTCCGGAACATCATAGGTGTTGCACCACTTGCATCTGTTAAAATGTGTTTCTAGCCACTGAGCCTACCTGGACCTCCAGTGACAAAACTGGATTTGGAAGCAACCCCAGACTGTGAACTTTGCTCCTTCTTGGGGAGCGCAATGCCATTCAGAGCAGGGAGTTGACTAGTTTCTTGGACACGGGAACCAGTCTCACACACAGTGCCTCTACCTTGTCAGGATTCACGTTCAACTTCCTCCCCCTCATCCAGGTAGGACACAGAAGTTCTCACAGCTTGAGTGGTGGTCTAGTCTTTGGTTAACCCACATGAAACTCTGTTTCATTTCTTGGTTAAAAATTCCACCTGCCCCTTTTGGGGGCAGAATTATATGGGTACCTGCAATTTTTCCAAGGGGAAAGATCAACCTTGAAGGAGGAGGCAATTTTTAAGTGGAAGGTGTTGTGAGATCAGTCCCCTCCCCTATAGTTTTCCCAGCTTGATCTCCTCCATGACTGTTACGTAGTGTAGAAAAAGTACAGGAGATTCTCATCACATCGTATCTCGCTTAAGGGGCAGCGTAAAAAGTTAAAGGTGAATGTTCACTTTTTGTAATGATTATTAATGTTCTCATAGTTCCTAGTGGTCTCCTGACATATTCTGTCAAAACCAAGTCTGCCAGCTTCTTTTTAAAACATTGGTATTGAAATGACCATTATAAAATATTTTCTGCTTGCAGTAGGAGCATTTCTTCATTACTGGGGTTTTTGGGGTTGTTGTTTTTTAAAGCAACCCTTCCTTTCCAAATTGTTGGACGTATTTAACAAAAAGTGGTGGATTGCAGTGCCAAGTTGCTTGTTCCATGTGTCACAGCAACCCAGGTGGCGACTGCTGTTGGATATGAAGTCCCTATTAATTTGTCCTTTGCGTGAACAGTGAATGTGATATCTAGCCTATTGGAAAGAAAAGGAACAGAACAGAATAGAATGGCTGACCTAGCTGAACAGAACAGGACCCACATAGAAACATTTGGGATGTTTTGTGTTGTCGGTTCTGGTGTGTGTGCGCGTGCTGCATTTCACAAAAAGTGGTTTACATCAAAATATTAAAACTGGGAAAGAGGATGGGTGGATAGGGAAAGAGAGAAGTGCATCTCTTCATTAAGAGAGCAAAATTGTTGTTTGGCACCTACTCATGTTGTGTGTTCACTTGGATTTTCTGGGACTCAAGCAAAGTTAAATAGCAACTACGGCAGTTCAAGTCAAGTTGTTTTATTATGGTCAATGACCAGCATTAGGATGAAATCACCAATTAAAAAATTTAAAATCTTAGAACAAACTAAAATAAATAAAATTACATATACATAAAAAAGCAGTTCCAGCTTGTCATTTATCCGTCAGAGGGAGCCCTTCATGATCATTTGTCAATAAACTACTCCTGTGTGCTAGTCATTATGTGTCACATTTTAATTGCTGCTCTGCAGAATTTGGCCACATTGTATGTTACACCGGAATTATTATCCAGGAGCAGCAGAGTAGCAAGAAACTGTTCAGAACACCTAGTATATTTCTGGAGTATTTTTCAGGAGGTCTCTTTCAAGGGATTGTCACCAACTTGCTTGGGAGTAAAAGTAACCCTTTCAGTAATGTTCCCCTGATGAAAAGCAGTGAAGGCTAAAAATGTGTTGGAATATATTTTTTGATGTTTACCACATCTGTTCTTATCTCTGTGGTTTCAAAGTTTGCGGAGTTGCCAATTTCTTGTATTCTGCTGGCCTCTTCTGCTGTACTTTAACAGCTACTTGATCAAAAGACATGAGCTGATGCTTATATTTGCCTCTGCGTCTTGAAAAACCTCACTTGTTGATTTTTGCAGATTACACAATAGTTGTATCCTGATTTTTATAACAAAATCTTTACATGTTTTTGGTTATCTGACCAATCTGTTCTTGCTCCTCAGTTTATGCTCCCCCCTCCATTAAAACTGGAAGCTAAAGGTAAAGGGACCCCTGACCATTAGGTCCAGTCGTGGCCGACTCTGGGGTTGCAGCGCTCATCACACTTTATTGGCCGAGGGAGCCGGCGTACAT